GCTATTTCCCTTCATTAAATGGGACTGACTGACCGAAAAAAGAGGGTATGCCAAACAATGTACACATGAACAAGTGACTAGAGCCTTAGGTTTAGATGGGTCTGTCAACTTGAGACACAAGAGCAGTGTGTTTTGTGGGATTCAAGAGTGGGAAAAGGGAAGCGATGAATTTTCACACGGAGCCTCATATAATAAGATGCAATGCGAGTGGGGATGAGAAAGAGGATAACTGGGTGATGGGTCTGAATCCTAGGCAGAGAATGATGATACCCCAGTGATGCCCTAGCACCGGATCTAAATCTTCGAATATGACGTAAACGGGGAGGAGAATTGAAGGCTCTTAGGCGGAAGGAAGATCAGGAGCCCTACAAACGGCAGCTGGTAGTGATAGTGAAGAGGATTGCTGCACTAAGCCCACTTGTATCAACACACTCTTAGGCGATATTAGAGTAGACGGGAGCACAGAATTGTGTGAATCGGTAGATGGGCCATATAAAATGGGGCTGAGAGAAAATTCAACTCTGTACTGACGATGATACCTCTTATTGACGATGCCGACGAAAGGTTTGAGGTATACCAAGTCAATGGTTCATTTCTGGAAATCACGAATACTATGGCAAAGGACACGCGACTATGTACGTTCCACAAGGTCTCCATGACGTTCCAATTAATTCGCGAAAACAAGATCACACCTGCAGTATAAATCTAAAGGAGACTGCGACCAAACAGAAAGCCACACCATCTTGGTCTTCATATTTTGAGATTAAAATTTATTATTTATTAATGGTAATAATAAATTAATATTTGTTGGTTATAATTATTAATTAATAATATGAATTTAATTAACCTTATCATTTATTAATATTTAATATTAATTAATAATGAATCATTGTCGTTGAATATTGATCTATAACTATTAACAGCTAACTAATAGATTATGTTTAATGTAGCGAATAAATGTAAAATGTTGATTAATAGAATGAAGGAGAGTTGATCTGCCGACCAAAATAAAACGGCTCAACACATCAGCTTATTACTGGTTCTCACTACATTCACATTTCTTTCAGCAGGTCCTCTAAGATCATCAACACAGCCGGATGTACAAGAGATTATGCTTTTGGGGATTATTGAACTTTAAGGGCAGGTCTTGGCGAGTGGGCCATAATCTCAACCTTGCATTTCATCATCTCAAACAAAGTTACTTAACTGAGATGTATCGCACCCTGTTTCGTGTAAGGTGATGAAGGACCGGTAGTAGAATTTTCCCACAATGATATGAGTTGAGCTGACGTTTCC